GTGAGAAAGAGGATTTTAAATTCTATTCTGGATTTAACAGGAAGCCAATGAAGAGAAGCCGTTTCTCTCTTAAACAAGTGGTACCAACACACTTTTGCACATGTCTATTTTCAGACCAAAAATATTCTAATCCAACTTGAAAAACCCAATATTAAGCATGAAAATGACCATAAATCAGTGGATTGACAAATGCAGATATGATAGCAGATGTGCGTCTGTATTTAATGATGCGTCCATAAAATTTTTGACTTCTTTTTTTTGTGACATTCAAACCTACTAGTGTCATAAAGTCACCATTAGTACAGTTTTCTAGATTAGTGCAACATAACCTATTGTTGCATACCTCGTTAGAGTATTTGAGCTTCTCTTTTTCGCATATTTCTAGCAGACGTTCTTCTTGGATCTGATTGGCCAGAGGTTTGAAACGAAACTTAGAACATCTTGAAGTGAGAGGCTCAATGATCCTACAGAATAAAGAGAGATATGTCATGGTTGAATGATCACTGTTATCCAGTTTGGGGGGGGGGGGTGTCAATTAGACCTCCATCTGACCTGCTGATGTAGTTACAGATGAGACAGAAGCGCGTGGTGCGAGATTCCTTCTCCATCGTTCGTCTGAGAGCAGCTTGTGCTGGAGCCGTCATGGAGTCAGCCTCATCCAGTATGATGATCTTAAAAGGGGGACACATCTTCCCACTGAAATAAAATAAAATTAAATGACAGCCCTGACAGATTGGGAAACGCTCATGAACTGAAGTCACTTTAATAAGACGATTTTACTTGACATGAAGATGGTGTAAGAAAGAAAAAAAAGAATCAATGTGAATACTATAAACCCCCGCCTCACAGCTGAAACATCTGGAGACCTCAGCCTGAAACAAAACAACACATCAATAGTATTTTAGACCATTAGATTTTTCAGGAGCGCAGACTTACTCTGGACGAGTCCCAGCCACCGTCAGCTGAGCAAAGTTCTTGACCTTCTCTCTGATGACCTGAATGCCTCGTTCATCCGAAGCGTTCAACTCCAGCACCCTCTGCCGGAACAACTCTGGTCTGAGACAAGTGAAAAGGGGATGAATGAAAAACAACAAGCTAGATAACTTTCTGATACTGCAAACACTCTAAAGCTTTACCTTGATAAAGATTAAGGACAGGTTACTTACCCATAAAGCTCTCTGGCAGCAGCTAAGATAGTGGAGGTCTTTCCTGTTCCAGGAGGGCCGTAGAAGAGCAGATTTGGAAGCTGAATTTAAGCAGAAATCTTGTGAATCCAAGATGAAAATTAAACCTCAGATATTTATACATATATTATCATTAAGATCAAAGGACACACCATTGAAGATTTTGGACAGAGAGGACAGACAATTTCAAAGAGGAGTCAAGGAAGCCATTCTCATTAAAAGTGAAAAGCCATTACTGAGCAGAGAACAGGCCATTTGAAAAGCACTTGGAATGCTTAATTAATGTTATTGTTTGGTAAAGCAGAAGAAAAAGCAGAGGAAGTTGGCAAGTTAAAG